TGTTTTCAATGTGGAGGTCCAAATTCATAAGCTACTAACTGACTGACAGCTCGATTGAATGTTCTTGTGTTGTACACAACCTGTCAATATAAACAGCTCTGCATAAATGGTGTGACTGGAAACTTTGTAATGGTGATTTTATGAAACTCCTATACACTTTAAAACCAGAAATTGGCTAAGAATTTGTTTTGTTTTACCAGCACCAGAGTTGTAATTTCAAATTAAACTTTAGAATAATTAAGTGAGCATAAATGGTGATAAGGGTCTAAGCAACTTTGGTATTCAACTTTTCAATACATTTGTTTAACTGTGTTTCATGCAAATACCCTACTAGTTATTGCACTCTGCAATAAGGTAAAGGCAGGTGATAATGTTTTTGCCTGTGTGTGTGTGTGTGTGTGTGTGTCTGTTACCAAAATATCTCATAAACCACTGGACAGAGTTTAATGAAACTTGCAGAAAATTGTATGTACATCTAAACCTGATTAACTTTTGGAGTTATCCATTCAAGATGGCTGTCACAGCAACAGGCCTTAGAAAACACACAAAATGGCTATAACTCAGTTCATTGTTACAGATTTTGGAATATGTTTTGATGTGGTAGTAGCTGAGTGTCATTAACAACACATCGTCTGAGTGTGTCATCTCACAGTAAAGTAAAGTGCTATATGTTGTCATCATTGTTAGGCCTGTCACGATAACAAATTTTGCTGGGCAATTAACTGTCTCAGAAATTATTGTGATAAACAATAATATTGTTTGAAATTTTTCATTCAACCGTTATTTAGACTGGTAAATCCCATATTTGATAATAATTAGTAATTATTGTCCAATTTACAAAGAAATGTTCATTTGTTTTGTGTGTAGTGCCTTCATTTTATCACTAGATGGCAGTATAAGGCTGTTTGAACTGAAGGGTGGATAGTAAGAAAGCGAGCAGCGTGTCTTTTTAAGAAAAGTGGGAGGGAGGCCACTTGATGTGATATAGGCTCTCTCTCCTTCATGTTTTTCGATTCTCAAAATGGCGGACACTCGGTGTGGTTTGAGCTCTTTAGCATAGCATTTGTCACATAAAGCTTTTAATAAAAAAAATCAGTAAACAAGTTCTCAGCTTCTTTTTGCAGAGAAAAACAACTTTTTATTCAAAGGCACGGGTTTCAGCCATGAAATTTGGAGCTTCGACAAATCAGAGGTTTTTCCCAGAGGTCGGCCTGTTAGCTTAGCTTGTAGCTTAGGTTCTCAGCTTAGCTGCTTTTAACGATCCAAAAACGTGATTCTGGACGGTTAAAATTGATTTTAAAGAGAAAATGAAAGGGAGGGTCAGTGAAGTGCACCAGAGTTGAGCCTTTTTCCATCCAGTGTCTTCAGCAGAAAGAGAGAGACACGAAGAAACGATTAAGCCGATAAATGAAAATGAGGTTGATCATTTTCATTTATCATCCGATTAATTAGTTTATTGTTTATTGTAACAGGCCTAATCATTGTATGTTTTCATAAAATGACCAAACTAGTTCTCTGCAGTTAATCCATCACATGTGAGATACAACCGGGTGGAGCAGTGGACGGGTATGCAAGCACCCAGGGAGAAAATGGGGATTGGGCGTCTTGCTCAGGGACACCACGACTTGTGGGAGTGGCAGGGAGTCAAACTGCGACTTTTTGTCCCAAGTCGGCTGCCCAACCGCTACCCCATACACGGCATGAGATTGCTAACATTATTTTTTAAGGTTTGACCAAAACTGCTTAAACTACAGATGATCTTAGTCTAAAACTCTGGCATGGAAGGGAGCGGGTTTAATGCATTCCTTCAGGGAACACTGGGACTTTAATTGTTAGATGAAGTGATTTTGATGGACTAACATAGTGGTGATATGTCACAGAACTCTCGGTCCCTCAGTTTGACATGAGTTACGTTTGTGGCTTAGACCTGTCATTTACGATAAACCTTCGGTCTCCTGATGCGATTTCGCCCTTGCTGTCTTAACAATCATCTCTGTCATACTTTGTGTCTTCTTTTCAAGACACTGTCACTTTTAGTTGGGGTTGTCACAATGATGAGCTAATTTTATCGAATTTAGAATTTTGCTGAGTCTTTGCTTAGCAAACTTTCAGCAGCTTCATTGTTTTGCCGTTTGGTTCTTACCCCCTCACTTGTATTATCCTACCTCTTTTTTTCTTACGCAACAAGCCAAAGTGTTCCTTCCTCACCTGTCCGCTCCCTACCGAGCCTCCACCTGTGTAGCCTACATAAAAGCTGCAATGTTACTGTCATTATTGTCTTTATACAGCAACGTCGCTCATTTCCACAACAGTTTTTATTATCTTATAACAAATTTGTCTTCATCAACAATGAAAACTCACCGTTTACAGAACCTAACGTTTATAGAGCAAAACTCTCCTTGGCCTAAAGTGTGCATCTAAGAGTCGCAGGTGTTTAAACAACAGAGGAGCATGTTGAAACGGTCCCACCGGTGGTATTCAGCTTTTCTGGGATGGTGGTGGGGGGGCTGATATGAGGGCAGAGGTAGGAGGGTGATTGAGAACCTCTGTGTGCATGTATGTGTGTGTCTTCATGATACAGAGGAGGAGAGCACTGCAGCAATTGGAGAAAGTAGGTCAGACAGTGACTAGTGAGAAAGATAGAAGAGGAGAAAAGACGTAAGGAAAAGGGATGGAGAAGAGGAAGAAAGGGAGGAGAGGAGGAGGAATAATGCCAGAGTGTATAATGAAATAAATTTGTACAAAAACCTGAAAAGTCATCTAAAAATAACAATTGTTTGATTCATTTTAGCAATCACAATAGCCTGCTGCCTCTGCTGCTGTAAATTAACTTACTTTAAACTGACCATATACCTGCTGGTAATGGGTACAGCAATTAAAAAAACAAAAACTGAACTTATTATGACTTTACCAAACAAGTTTGAACAAATGTTTTTCAGCTAATTGCTTCGTTAACATCAGTAGCTTAGTGTTTTAAATCTCCTAAGTCTGTTTGTGTCATGACACACTTGGAGAACATGTGTAAGCTCTTGTCCGTTTTTTCAATTCAATGAAAAGAGGAAGGGCATCACGGTGGCACAACTGGTAGAGCTGATGCCTCTCAGCAAGTAGGCTACTCTGGTTCAAATCCTGGTCCGGGGACCTTTTTGGGTGGAGTTTGCATGTTCTCTCTGTGCATGCGTAGGTTTTCTCCGGGTACTCCGGTTTCCTCCCACAGACCAAAAACATGCATGTTAGACTGACTGGTAACTCTAAATTGTCCCTAGGTGTGAGTGAGAGAGTGAATGGTTGTTTGTCTGATTTGTCTCTATGTGTCCTTGTGCTGGACTTGTGGCCTGTCCAGGGTGTACCCCGCCTCTCGCACAGTGATTGCTGGACATGGACACCAGTGATCCCCGCTATCCAAAAAAAAAAGGAAAGAAGCAGGTAAAGATAATGAATGGATGGATAGATGGATGAAATGAGAAAATAAACAAAAACACACCATTCAGGAAAAATAAGTGAAACTGGCTCACTCCATTTGTTTGTCATGGGGCCTCTTCTTGTAAGTATGCAATTCTTCATATTACATAAGTGCATAATGTCAAAAATACACACGACACACAGAATACACTCAAGCTTTTCATATACTTATATATGGGTTTTCTCTTTTGCTCCTAAGGACAAGTGTGTTTTTATTATGTATCTGATAAAGCACTGAGTACCGGTATATAGTGCATTCATAAATACACCGCAGGGCTTGTAGGCATGGACCACAAACAAGGAAGGATTGTGCAGTGGCCTCAAAAACATACAGTGTTTTCAAGCAGATGTAATTGATTCACTGACAAATGGGTGACAGTAGAATGATGAGCTT